TCCTGCCGCTTTTCGGCAGCTGAGCTCGGCTGGCACTGGAAGGCAGCGTCACACTCACACATGGCTTCTCGCACCACTTGTGGTGCATTCAAGGAACATTGGAACTCTATGATGAGTTCAATAACGTAGCACATTTAAAACTTTTATAAAAAACAATAATACTGTAAGACAAACACCTCAGGTCATTGGCAGTTTGCATGTAACGTTTCTGAATGCTAAATACGGCCGGCTTCTTTTTACACAAAAGTACTAAAAACAACTAAACCAAACAAAAAAAATATATATATATCTTTTAGGTCAATATATAACACTGAATCACAACAGAAGAATACATCTCAAGGCACTTGAAAACTACAAGAGAAAATTCATTTTATTTCAATCATACATACATTCCTATCAATTTAATATTTTTGTGTTTAAGAGTTCCATTCTCTTCAGACAAAATAGAAATATTCCTTCCATTGTTTTGTGCCATCTTTCCTTGATGTTTTAAAGGCTGCTGTTTTGTATTCTATGGTTTTTTTTTATTTTAATCGTCGTCGTCTTCCTCCGCTTATCCGGGTCCGGGTCGCGGGGGCAGCATCCCATCTAGGGAGCTCCAGACTGTCCTCTCCCCGGCCACCTCCACCAGCTCCTCCGGCAGGACCCCAAGGCGTTCCCAGACCAGATTGGAGATGTAACCTCTCCAACGTGTCCTGGGTCGACCCGGGGGCCTCCTGCCAGCAGGACATGCCCAAAACACCTCCCCAGGGAGGCGTCCAGGAGGCATCCTGACCAGATGCCCAAACCACCTCAACTGACTCTTTTCGATCCGGAGGAGCAGCGGTTCTTCTGAGTCCCTCCCGAATGTCCGAGCTCCCCAACCTATCTCTAACCCCTTCTTTCCACGGGAGCCGTCAGCAGCACGTTACTGCAGCAGCACGTCTTGCTCGCGTAAGCTGCTGCTTGGCCCTTCCCACGAGATGCGTAGCAGCAGGGGAGCAGCTGTCACCGACCGAGCACGAAGTCACACGAGTGACTTCGTCAGTAAACACAACAACAAGCAGGAGAAAACTACAACATGATTTGTGTTTTATGTTCTGTCCATTTTATAATCGCCAATACGGACCTGAAAAACAAAGGAGACCGCTAGCTAGGTGATAACTTCTCACGGGGCCGCATAGTTAGTAACCTTTTTTAAAGTAAAGCAACCGGAAGGCAGTACGTTCTTTATTCTGAAAATCTCGGGAGCTTCTCTCCATTTCCGCGTCAGATTTCCTGTCTTTCTTTCCCCAAAAATGTCGAACTTGACCCGTTTCAGAGGCGTCGCGCGCAGAAAATAGAACCGGCGCGTAAGGGCCGCGACATGCTGCTCCTGAGACGCGGCCGACTCGCGCTGCTGACGGCTCCGGTAGAAAAGGTTCTGTTGACCACAGCGGTTCCTATCAGCAGCTATGACGTGCTGCTGCAGTAACGTGCTGCTGACGGCTCTGGTGGAAAAAAGGGGTAAGGCTGAGCCCGGCCACCCTACGGAGGAAACTCATTTGGGCCGCTTGTATCCGTGATCTCGTTCTTTCGGTCATTACCCAAAGCTCATGACCATAGGTGAGGATTGGGACGTAGATCGACCGGTAAATCGAGAGCCTGGCTTTCTGGCTCAGCTCCCTCTTCACCACGACAGATCAGCTCAGCGTCCGCATTTTATTTTAATAAAATATAAAAAAATTAATTAAATTATTTTTTTAATAAAGTCACGCGGGTTTTATTTGACTTACTCTACAAGACCGGTGACATCATGACTCAAACCAGATGACTCAAACCAGATGACGTCATTGTGTTGTATGTAAATTAGCACGTGACGTCATCTGGCGACATCTAGCGACTTTTGGGGGGAACTTCAGCTACTTTCAGTCAAAAACAGTTGGCAACACTGGATGTTTGTTAAATGAAAAGCATTAATTTCCTCTCTCCTGCAGAAGCGTCGTGAGCGATTTCAACATCTCAACGCCGGCTTTGCACAGCACCGACACGTGTGGTTAATTAAGCTCAGGAAGGATGCAATAGTGTAGAATTAACATTTTCATTGTTTTTTGTGTCATTTAACCGGGTGTTTATTCACAATGGTGGCCTGGTACTAGTCTTTGCACTTTTCAGTGTTTGAATGTTGAACATGTAATAAGATCTGGACTGTAGTTGTGTACTAGCACGCTTAGCCTGCATGTTTGGGTTAAATGGAGAGGTAGAGGTGACTTAGGAAGCTTTTTAAGCATGTAGACCTGTAGGATCCAGTTAAACCAGTTGTCAGAATGATCTATTATTTGTAAGAAACATCTTTGTTGTCGAGCTGCTGCTCTCGGGGTGTCGGCGGCGTATTGAAGCGTCTCCGTGGCTTGGCCTTGGTCACTTTGGCGCTCAGTTGGATTCAGCCAACTGGCACATGATGAGAAGCAGCAGACAGCTCAACCGCGGCGTCCGCCCGAGCTGGAATCAATCGAGATTTTCCTCGCCTCGTTCCACGAGACTCACAAAGCCCACACAGCCATAGAGCTGTTGTCATAGCAGCACTAAACAGTCGTAACGTCTCCTCGTTCTCTTACAGTTGGTGTTTTTGATCCAGCAACAGAAGCTGTGTGGGACCCCCACAAACTAACCTTGTAGGATTTTTTTCATTTAGGCTTGTTTTATTTTATTTCACGTGTCAGAAAGACACCAAGTTAAAGTTTTATTACACAGTTGCAATGATGAACGAAGTCAGTCGAAATGTAATAAAAATCCACGTTTTTTTTTAATGGATAAATGCACCAACTTTAGATTGTCTCTCTTTGGAAATGCTCATTAAGAGCATTCAAGCCTTTTGCCGATGCTCTAAAACCAGTTCAACTCTTAAACCCCCCTTGGACACACCCACTGTCCAGTTGTCGTGCTGCTGAATGTTTACTAACACCCAGTTTGGCTTCATGCAAAGCACAGTAACTGTTTTCACTGTAAACCACATTGACGATAACTCGATAAAAACCTAAAACAGGTCAGTCGGGTGTCAGAAACGTGCTCCAACGGCAACAACGGGGTGATGTAAAACTCTTCATTCTGGTTCAGTCGGATTTGTGCCCAAGTTTAGAGACTCCAGTGAGTTTGTAGTATTTTATTTAATTGGGAGGTAAAACGTTGAACTTGTTGAATGGAGATAAATTTAGTTTATATCTATTTTATTTGGATTGATTCTCCTTTGCTGAAAGAAGAAAAGCAGAATAAAACTTGAATTTGAATACAGGTACTGTTAACCTCCTGAGTTATTTTTACAATTCATAACAAGGACCAATAATGTTCTTAATTATTTTTTCAGCCCTAATTTAAAATCTCACAGCTAGGCTGAATATTTAAAAATCCTTATGAGCATTTAAAGTGGCCATGTCATTAATCACTTTTTGAAGCTTATGTGATGTTTCCTCATTTAAAATACCCCCTAAACTTGTTTGTGGCTGCGTTTCCTGCCTCGGGGGCGGTTTTTCAGATTCTGAGCTGAAACCTACAAACACAAGGATGGAAACGGAGTGCGTCTTCAGGCTCTGCTCCTCCCCTGAAGCTACTCTCTGAGCTGAAACCCACCTCCTCTGGAAGTAGGTCACTAAAGCGTGGTTTATGCTTGACGCGTGTACATGCCGCGCGGGAATGAGAGAGTGGATGGAACGTGCGTTGGAACTTGCAGCGTTTATGGTTCCTTCTGCGGCTTGACCACCGTGAGCCGATCTTCTCCCAGACTGTAGGGGGCGGCACGAGGCTCTACGGCATGCGTGCAACACTACACCGTAGCAGAAGTAGAAATCGCTGTTAACAACATTCTTTCACTGTGTCCTCGTCTTTTCCGACTGTGACGGCAACTAACAAATTTTGAGGTGGACATGTAATAAATTATTTGTAAATTAAATGTTTTAGTCTAAATTTGTTTCACTCATACCTAAAAATGAATGAAAAAAAATAGTTAAAAAAAATCCTGGTTGAAGATTTCATAATTTATAATGAGAGGTTTAAAATGGCATGATCTGAAACCTTTAAAATGACTTGAACACCTTTTACTTTTTTCTTTTTGCTTTTACTTTTTTCTTTTTGGCAAAGTAAACTCCTAAATGTACCGATCTCTGTGGGATTATTCAGATTGGAGGAGTTGTTTGCTCTTTGGTTGAGAAGTTGTCCCACATTTCAGTAAAACACCAGTTTACACAAGGAAGTCATTCGAGGTAATGATTGGCCGAGTCGATAACCTGTTACCTCAACAATGTTTTCTTTTTAAAAACTAACATAATCGGACTGATAAGTGGACACGAGTGTCGTGTTAGCTTCGACCAGACTGGCTGCAGCTGCTGTTTTCTTCTTTGGCTATTTTTATTATTATAAATTCCAACCCTAATAGATGTATGATTATTTTAAAGTTTCCTTATTTACTTTTACAGTCCCAAATAAATGTTCACCCCAGGGTTTCTATTAAATTTGTTTAAAATAATTAAGTCAAACGATAATCATCATTATCATTCTGAATAATTCAGATCAGTAGCAATAATAATAATAATAATAATGATAATAATAATAATGATAATAATAATAATAATAATATTAATAAAAATAAAAATAATTATAATAATAAAAATCATAATAAAAATAATATAAATACATAATATAATAATAATAAAAATAAGAAAAGTAAATAATAAGAAAAATAATATAGTAACGACAATAACAATATTAACAATAATAATATAATAATGCCATTTGTGAGTACAAGTTCAGAAGATTTATAAAATAAAACCTTGGAGTTTAATGATTCCATCAGATCTTTGGGTCTATATTTTTTATTAATTTGAAAAAAACTATGATTCGTCTTTTTGGTTTATTAAAAAAAGAAACTAAGGAAAATTGAATCAAAAGCCGGTCTGCAAACAATAATAATTTCAGGCTCACTCGCAGCTCTTTAATCAAAAGTGCAGCTCTCAGGTGTTTTTATCTTTTTTTTTTTTTTTTGTCACTAGGTGGAGTGTCGTCAAGGAACTCGCTGATTCCGGACTGCAGCCATCATGGTGAACATCCCAGAATATTACGCAGGAAAGAAAGTGCTAATCTCAGGAGCTACAGGCTTCATGGGGAAGGTACGTGGTGCTTTCAGTGGCACGAAGCTCCCAGAATGAAGAAAGAAGCTTCTCCGAAGTCCTTCACGTTAATAATCCCCATCACTCTAGCGTGAAGCGTGAGAAAGAAAGGAATGAGGCTCTGCTGCCCTGGAGGCTTTTCGGTTACTAGACTGGTTGTATCAGTACGGTGACACGTTGGTGGGTGGAGATGCACCAACTCAGAGCCACGTTCACTATAAGTAATTCGCTGGTTTGTTAAGTGTGTAAAGCCATCTCTGGGGTGGGGTTAACTCAGTGTTCAGGTAATTTTATCACATGTCTGCCCAGATGAGTGATAGAGACAGAGAAATGTGCATTTCCATCATTTTTCTACGCATTTAGTTACTAATCCTATTTATTTCACTTCAAATCAGTTTTTTTTAACAAACCAGATAATTTTATATAGAAAATGAGTTTTTCTAGACTTTAATCTTGCAGGAATTTATTTTATTAGGAGCATCTTGCGTACAACAGACCCGGTTGGCTTCCCGTTTGAATGTCCGCATTAAAAAGGATAAATAAATGCATAAAATATGAACACCTGGTTCCTACCTGTAGGCTTTCATTATTTATGACTCAATGTTTTAAGAAAATCTACTTAAAATACCTTATGTTAGTAGTTGGAGGAAAACGAGAATAATTCAAGGTCTGTCATTCAGGTCGATTTTGGTCGAATCATGAAAACTGCTTTACCCGACGTCGACGACATTCGACGTACAACTACATCACAATGATGCCAGCATGTATGGCCCTGAGAAAGGTTTACCTCTGTTAATGTAGAAGTTTTACAGTCAGTAGCACCAGGAGTGCGTGTCGGGGATGAGTCCCGGCAACTAACGCTCAATAATTTAGGGCAATATCTGTGAAACTTGTATTGTTTCTGAAGATGAAGAACGACAATAACTTTCATTCCTCACGTTTCTCTTTCAAGGTTCTGCTGGAGAAGCTGCTGAGGTCCTGCCCAGAGGTCGGAACCGTCTATGTGATGGTCCGGTCAAAGGCTGGGCAGAGCCCTCAGGCCCGTGTTGCTGACATGGTTAACTGCAAGGTGAGAAGTGGGAATCGGCTTTAGTCGGGGGGGGGGGGGGGGGGGGGGGGGGGGGGGGGACCTGTTGCAACTGCTGTTTGGTTATGCAAACAAAACAAGTTTAGTTCAATTTTGTTCAGTTTGGTTTCATCGGTTTTAATTAGGTCTTCATGTTCACAAGCCTGTTTCTTCTTTCAAGGCCAGTATAGAAACTAAAATATTCAGTTTGATACCAACTTTCCGAAAGCGCTTTTAGAAGCTGTTTAGCTATTAACTCATTCGCTGCCAGCGTTTCTCACCGTTTTTAGAGTTTTTTTAAGAGTCGCAGAACGTTGCGCGCTAGGATGATGTCGACGCCAAAACAACCAAAACAAAGCGAAGACTCACCTCTTAGATCAGGAAGAATCTGCGTGTTTCGAGCGTTATCCGTTCTTTCATAATCCGTTGTTGAATTGTGATCGGCAGACGCTTTTCCGGTTCGCGCCTGGATGTTCTGCTTCCTGATCACGTGACGTGTGACGTATGTGGATGAAGATCGGCTTCAGAGCTGAGATGTTTGTTCTCACGGTGCGGGGGCTCGTCCGACGCGCACACAGTAAAAAAAAATGCAAATGACGACTTTTGTCGTCATTGGCAGTGAACGAGTTAAAAGGTGTGGTTGACTGAGAAACCATTTTTAATATTTCTGATTCTAAGGGGTCACTGAGTGTTTCATGCAGGCTGAACATAAAATAGTCTCCTACACCTATCCTGCACTAGCTTCTGATAGAAAATAGACGGTGAAACCCTAGGATTAGAAACACCTCACATATCTATGTCACTCTGTGAATTTGCATTCATGGCCTTGCCCATCTTGGCTCACGCCCGCCCACAGGAAGGTTTTTTTGTGCAACAAGGAGAGGCCCAATCTCAACACTCGCACTTCCACCCTTGCGCCCTTCAATTGCGCAATCCCAACGAGGGGTGCAAGTGTGTAGCGCAGGGGTGGCCAACCCATCGGAGACTAAGAGCCACTTTTTTTACTGTGTTGCAGCTAAGGGCCACAACTGGGCACACTCGAACATCACCCATCCCTTCCTCTCACACACACAGAGAGTGTATGATTGTATTTTAAGGAGGGGATGAAAAATGGTCAAAATAAAGCTAAGGTTAATTGATATCAAGCTTAATGGTGGCACTATTCCTCACGATGGGAAGATTGCATGTTGGCGTGTTCTCCCCGTGCATGTGTGGATTACCTCCCACATATCAAAAACATGCATATTGGGTTAAAACATGTTGCTTTGGGTTAAAATCTTCGGCTAAACGAATAAGAATTCAAATCAAAGCCCTGATAATCTCATAGTTCTTGTCTCGAAAACGCTATTCCAGACAAAGAACCAAATGTTGGTGAAGATGTGGTTTAATGGGAAGCACATGAAATATCCAACATGCTTCCCATTATAATCCAACAGCTGGGATTTCACATCATTCTGGATTTTAATGTATATAAAATAAAGCTGATAACCCTAACCAAAAAACTTGGACTGAACGACATAATTATCTAAATCTACAGTAATAAAACTTTATAGAGTTAGATTTAGTAGATTTACTTTAAAACAAAAACACATCTCGGTTTCAGTAATAGAACCAGGAAAGAATGGGAGTAATGGGAATCTGAAGTATGAAGAACTGTGAGGTCTCATGATGGGAATGATGATGGGCTGCTAACCACTTAAACATTCTCCCTCTCCTGGTAACATTTGACTTTCTTTGACATTGAATGTGCTACTACTAGTTTACCTGTTGAATTAATTATAGATTCACTAGTATAAATACTTTGGGTGTAACTGTACGCACAACTCGTATTCGGCTTGGTTCAGTGTTTTGAAGGGCTCGTTTCGATTAATGTTCGACATATTATTATTTATTTATTTAATATCTGAAGCGGCTCCTATAGTGAGCAGAACCAGGCATCATCACAGGCTGCTTATCTAGCATGATGTATTTAATTATTTCACAGGTTATTTGCACCACAGACATGTATATGTAGATGCCCCGTGGACTGGCGCTGTCTATCGGCGCTGCCGTAGTGGCCGACCGCCATTTTACATAGATTAGCCCCCAGTGCATTCATTTCTACTGAGGAAGGTGCTTACCCAACTAAAAAAGATGTTTTATCAAGCTTTGTCACAAAATCAAACACAAGGTACGGTATGACAAATAAAATATAATTAAATAAAAATAAATATTAAATATAAAATCCTATCAGGTAACCTAGAAAAGTCACTAGTAATCCCATGTGATCTGTTTCAGTTGTATGCTGGTTGTTGTAACCGTAGGCTGCACAGAAAGGGGCATAGTTACTCACTCTGCATTGACTTTGAAGAGTGAGGAGACCCATCCAACATGGCAGTGACACTGTTGCAATCTCCAGCAGCCAATGGGGCATCTACGTATTCATGTCTATGATTTGCGCAGCTCACTCTCATACAGACGAGTGTTGTGTTTGACGTGTTTTTATTTCTTAAAAACTGACCTCAGAGTTTCTTCTTTAAAACTCGTATTAAATAACAAGTGTCCTCCGCGCCGTGTTTTTCGTTGTAAGATGAAAACTTAACATCAGTTGCCGCTGCGGAAAGGTTCAGCAGACATGTTTGTTTACATGTTTGCTGCTGTGTGCCTGCACACTGTGAGAAGGGAGCGAGAGGCGACACGATGCTCAGAGTCTCTACAGGCTCCTCAGTAGCAGCGACAGTCAACCGGTTTGATCCGCTCTGAAAGACGTTGATCAGAATTTGCAGATCATATTTTTTTAAACAGAGACCGGGCGCGTGCAGCCATCACGAGTCGCTCAATACAGCGTCCATGTGGAAACTCGCCGAGGAACTTTTATCCACTGCACTTAAATCACGCAAATGTGTGAAAAATCCATTATTTAACGGAAAAAATAAAGTGAAATGGTTCAAATAACCCCCGTGAACCGTTACACCCCTACTAAATACAAAAAAAGTTGTTAACCATAGGTGCCTGTGTGTGTGTGTGCGTGTGTGTCTGTGTGTCTTCTCTATCCCCAGTGAGTCGTGGAGGATGGCTGCTTATACTGAGCCAGGGTCATCTGGAGGTTTCTTCCTGTTAAAAGGGAGTTTTCCTCTCCACTGTCGCTAAATGCTTGCTTAGTATGAGGATTGCTGTAAAGACTCTGACACTAGTCAGTGACTCGACACAACCTGCTGGGTTCCTTATAGGAAACTTTTTACTGATTGGCTTAATGAGCTGACCTGTATTGGAATGTTTACTGTGTGAAGGTCCTTGAGACGACTCTTGTTGTGTTTTGGCGCTTTATAAATAAACTGAATTGAATTGAGTGGAATTGGGAAGCTGGAGGCAGTGTGATGTCATCAGCATCTATAGCTGGAACTGGGTCACTGGTATTATTGATGTGAGCTGATGGTTGTTAGGGTTTCATGGTAAAGAGTTCTCAGACGAGTTTTCAGCTGGAGGGTTTGTCGTTAACCGTAGAAATTGGATTTATGCAGTTATATTTATGAGGAAAGAAAAGATCTTAAATGGTTTAACATTAAATATATTCCACACTTAATTTTTTTTGTTGACTTTGTAAAATTCAATCAGGAAGGAGCTGTGGAAGCTGGTCATTCAGAACCACTTCCTGGTGACCCTTCTGCAACTTTATTTGACTCTTTTTCTATTCCTACACCTGCTTTTATGTTTGTTTATTTTAGTTGTGATTTACTGTTTTAACTCAAATCCTAAAACATTCTTTGTCTGACCAAGTTGGCCTTGACGTGCTGGAGCAGGAGGATAACTCTAATATTTCTCTCTTAGCTGTTTGAGAAGTTGCAGGCTGAGCAGCCGGGCTTTGCAGAGAAGATCTTGGCGGTCAACAGTGACCTCACATTACGAGAGCTGGATCTGAGCAAGGAGGACCAGAGCATCCTGGTAGAAAACGTCAACGTAGTCTTCCACTGCGCTGCCACCATCCGCTTCAACGAGCCGCTCAAGTAGGACACCTCTCTGGGTTTATTGCCTGTAAATGTAATGCGTTCTCTGTGTCAGGTGCACGCTTCGTGACATCGCGAGCTTGGTTTTGTGTAAATGGCTGATCAAGCTGGGGAGTGTTTGTGATTTTATGAGCATTTTCTTGGCTCGGCTCTGCTGAAAGGGCCGTGTTGACAGATTGTGCCTGCTGTTTGCAGTACACAGAGAAACATAACACCTGTCACGCCTTGCTTTTCTGCTGAACTGAAGACTCTGCTGCTGATTAAGCTCCACTTTTTTTTTCTAGAGAAGCTGTAAAATTGTGTTTATTTTAGGCATTTTTATAAATGTATTTCAAATAAGAATAAACCACAGAAAACGAACGATGACCTTTTTCTCGCCTTTCCCAGCACTCTGGTGTTGTAGCATAATTTATGTCCGTGATCTAGAATTACACCCAGAAGTTTGTCTTCACAAGCCCTTTCTATATTGGTCATATTGTTATCGTCACTTGTGTATTTATTTTATGATTTCCACGTGCACGAGCCTACTATTGAAGCTGTTGTTACGCTTTTGGCCTGAGGGGGCAATCGCGAGCATAAAAATTCAAAAGTCCGTAAAGTCCCTTTAATGTGCAAAAGAAAAAGCTCAAGTCCCAAAACAGACCCTTGTGGTACCCCATACTGGACACTAGAGTGTATTTTCTTAAGTGCACATTTTAAAAGTTTGTTTATATTTATCACATGTAGTTTACTTACTAACAGCTTCTCTCCCTCCCCCTCTCAGAGATGCTATGCAGCTGAATGTCCTGGCCACACAGAAGATGCTGGCTCTGGCCCACAGGATGAAGCACTTGGAGATCTTTATTCACGTCTCCACAGCGTACGCCCACTGTGACAGAGAAGTCATTGAGGAAGTGGTCTACCCTCCCCCCGTAGACTACCGCAAACTCATTGACACGCTGGAGTAAGCTCGACTCACCACACTGTTGTGGTTTTATCCTCGAACTCAGAAATCCGGGGACACCAGCCTCACATTTAATGCGTCTTCTGAAAGCTTTTTACATTAAAATCATAAAGGAGAACATTCTGAAGTGCTTCCCTCTGCAGACGAAACAGCGGTTTAGTAGTACCGAGGTAGATGAGTGGAGCCTCAGAGTCGGTTAGTGTGACTGCTCTGAGGGATTGTCTGATCTTTCTGAACTTGGAACACCGAGAACCGGATAAAGCGGCATGTAGGAACAAGTCTGTTGATCAGCAGCATTATTAGAAGATGGTATGTCCTATTGCCTTCACACTCGGGGTGAAAGTTTTATTTTGAAAGAGTTGCAGAGCGTTTTCTTGCAAGTTTGATCCAGATTTTCACGTGGGCTCTAATTACACTTGAATTCAAATTACACTTGAATTCAATCACCGGAACGTATCCAACTAGAAGTAGACCGATAAATCTTGCCGATATTTATTAAGAATTTTATTTATCTGCCTCCTTAGTAAAGCTGATTGAAAGTCCGGCACGTCCCCGAGCAGTCCGTGCACAATTTAGTTTAAAAGTATATTCTTGTTCTAAATACTATCTGCATAATAAATGCTCTATTATGTTCAACTACATTTATTTTAATACCCGTTTTGAATATTTAATAATACTTGGTTAGTTAGTTCATTTGTTTAACTTTAGTTAGTGTCAGCCCAATCAATCGAGGTGTGTTATTCAGAACATTTTAAGCTTTTATTTCTTACTTTGGAAGGAAATTCTGATTTCATAAATGGCGAATAAAATAAAAACAATAAAAAGTCAAACTGAGAACAAATTATGTCCGCTGTGCAAAGTCAGTTAAGCTTGGTTTATGCTTGACGAGTCCGCGAGGTTCGCACAGCTCCGCACGGCAAAATTGCGTCATTTTAACAACCACGCCCCTCCACCGCGCCTCCGCACGGCCCAAACTTTCCACACCGCGCACCTAGGAAATTTTCTAACCACGCGGACGGTTGGACGTGGAAGAACATGGCGGACCGGCAAGAACTAGTATGGCAGAGGTTCGTAAATACAGACATTTGTACGATTCAGCTCTCAGAGATCACCGTGATCAACATGTTGTTAATAATTCTTGGAGGCAAATAGCTCGCTCTGTCGGAAAAGACGAGGACGCTGTTAAAAAATGCTGGAATGCAATGTTGTAAACAGTAATTTCTACTTCTACTATGGTGTAGTGTTGGATGCATGCCGTAGAGCTCCATGCTGCCCCCTACAGTTTGGGAGAATATTGGCTCACCGCAGAGACGAGCCGCATGAACCATAAACGCTGCGAGTTGTGAAGCGCGTTCCATCCGCGAGCCGCATCACCGCGCGGAAAGTAAATGCGTCAAGCATAAACCAAGCTTTAAATAAAGGTAATGCTAAAATGTCAGCTTAGCTCAGCTGTGACCAGAGAAAGATTTTCCTCTGCTGTTATAAACCAGAGTTTTGTTTATGTCTGCTGACAGAAGCTTTCACAAAAACTCTAGTCGCTCTTTTCTGCTGTCCTGGTTTCCAGTTGGAGGTCAGGTCTGCTGATTATTGGTGTTTAAAGTTGAGGATGAATCTGGTCTTTCTGTGGCTTCAGCTGGATGGACGATGACATGGTGTCAACACTGACCCCCCAGCTGATCGGGGAGCGTCCCAACACGTACACCTTCACCAAGGCTTTGGCCGAGTACCTGGTGCTGCAGGAGGCTGGAGACATCAACGTTGCCATCGTCAGGCCCTCCATAGTTGGAGCCAGCTGGAAAGAGCCCTTCCCCGTGAGTAATCCGCTGTTGGGCTCCCTTCACAGGATTATTATTCCGACTTTAAAGCAGAAAGAGCATCCGAGTTTTGTCCCAGTAGAATTCTGGGACTTTCAAGTTGAGCAGCGATCATCATGACGGCTGCAGCTGGAATGGCAGCTCTGCCTTCTCTTTTCCACCAGAGAAGAAGAAAGTTTGAAAAAGTTTTAAACGGCTGAAGCAAATTCTGGAGGTTTCTCTAAAAGGACGTCTGTAGCTTTTAGTCCCGAATCGGCTAAGATGTTAAAATAGGGTCCCAAATGTTCAGTGAACTGTCTCAGATCTCCCTTTTCCCCTCCTAACTCGTTTCAGGGTTGGATTGACAACTTCAACGGGCCCAGTGGAATATTCATTGCAGTAAGTAGTGTAGTAGTACCATTCAGGACATTTTTGAGTTACTCTGAAAGTATCGGGATCTGTTAGAATGCTGGTCTGCAGGTGAATTTTCAGTTTCACTTCCTGAAGTTCGTTCCCTGCAGCAGTTTGAAAGTCTTCCAGTATCAGATTCCTCTGCATACGTGAGACATGTTGATCAGCCTTGTTGCATCGTTGTTCTCTCTGTCTCCCGCTGCAGGCTGGAAAGGGAATCCTGCGTACGATGAGAGCCTCGAACAACGCTGTGGCTGACCTGGTACCAGTCGATGTGGTCATCAACACCACTCTGGCTGCAGCCTGGTTCTCTGGATCTCAGCGAGTTAACAGGTTTGGAAACGCCTTCAGTGTCTCCTGTAGTTGCATTAGCGTGTCGGTTTACTCGGTAAAATCCTCTCCTCACAGGCCTAAAAACATCCTGGTGTACAACTGCACGACCGGCAGCATCAACCCGTTTCACTGGGGGGAAGTCGGTAGGACCCTTATCTTTTTTCCCATGGTGCACCCCGTGTTAAAGCCTCAGACAATGAAAGCCTAAAGCTCTGCTTATATTTGGCCCGTGTAGTCTCTGATTGTAATCTGATCCACTGTCTGCCACACCTAAACCAGGAGATCTTGTTCTGGATTAGAACGGAGTTTTGTCCTGGTTTTTTAGCATTTCATGTGTTTTTTCTACACTTTTGTGGTATTATTTACTTAGATTTGTTTCTAAAGGTTTTAAAATGGATGAAAATATAAACGTGAGCCCCCTTGAGAGTTTCTGGTGGACAAATGAGATGAAAGATAGTTTGATATTCGAGCTTGTCTGTAGCTTTTGTTTATTTAGAGTTTGAGCTGTTGTCATCAGACCGTACTCTCTAGTCAGGTTTTATCACACGAGTAGTTTGACACAGAGGGAATGCACCTGCAGAAACTTATTATTATTATATAAAAACTTTTATAAAAGATAAAGAATTAAATCACTAAACTGTCCACACTGTGATTATAAAGCTAATTTTCTGGCCGACTGATAGATAGGATATTACTTTTTGAGGCTTATTACCTAAAAATCCGTAATTGGAGAGGAAAATATATTGAACTGGGTTCATTTTGGATCCCAGTGGTTCTTTTGTGAAGTTTCTACTTTGACCTGATGTGTTTTTTTTTTTACCTAACTCTGCCTGCAGTTGGAGGATGTGATTAAATCGATTACATCTTTTATCTCTGAAGAAACTAAATCCACCCAAATGCTCACTGTTAATCAAGATGAATACAATTATCTTTACAATTTTTAACCCTAGTTCAAATCTGTAAGTTTTCCAAAAATCCAAAAGATTTTTCTTCATCGAGTTTTTGCTTTGTTGGCTGTTATTGGTGCATTTTAGATGAAACCGTCATTAGCTTTTAGGTGACTGGGAAACATCTTAAGGGTCATCTCGTTGGAGTTTTAATGAAACTCGATGCATTTACATGTTTTATTATAGAGCAGGGATGTGTAGTTTTGAAATTCTGGCGATATGATACATATCGCACGATACAGGGGAGGCGATACGATATATCACGATATATTACGATACATTCAGTCAGACGTTACAAGCAAATTTTTTTACTGAATTCATTGTAAGAATGTTCAATAAACAGTCCAAACTGATACGTAACATGTTTAACATGAGGTATCTGAACCATGATGGAGGGATTTACATTTCAATGTAGAAACAAAACCCGCTGCACACTGCTGCCAACTAGTGGGTGGCGATTGAATTGCTCAAAACGAAAAGAAAATACACAAATGTTTGCATGTAAATTCTTTCAAGAATTAGATACACGGCTTTTGAATATCGATGTAATAATCGCAGGAAAAAATATCACGATGTATTGCCATATCGATATTTCCGATACGTGGCTTTTGAATATCGATATAATATTGCTGGAAAAAATATCACGATAAATTGCCATATCAATATTTTCTTACATCCCTATTATAGAGATTTATTTTCACTCTGAATGTTTTGGGCATCTAAAGCGAAACTACGACTCTACCGGAACGTTTCGTAGACACTTTAGGTGCGTTTCCACTGCAGGAACCTTTTTTCAGGGCCAACGTTTATCCTCTCCTTGTTTCCGGGGTGAAGGTTTTCCCCAGAGCACGACTCTAGAAAGGGGGTCGTACATTTGAGATTACCCAGAACCTTTGGGATGGAGCTTGTGATGCTAAAGCATTCTGATTGGTCGGCTGCTTTGTTCATTTTCCTGCCATTTTTGATTTGCAGGATAAAAAAAAACCATGACTGGTCGTAGCAGATGCCTGAGAGTGAGGTTGAGGGGATAGCCGTTAAGAATGAACGTTGTATTCCAGTCTTCTGGTCTTGGTGCTGCTGTATTGCAATCCTACTGCATTAACACCGCCACCCTCTGGACGGGGGTGGAATTGTTGACCTGCAGAAATGACTCGGGTTAAAAAGGTGTCACGCATGGTGGAAATGCCTTAGCCGATTTCTTTGTTTCTAATGCTGCCGAATTTTTTGTTCATCCGATTTTGTTGTTCTTTTAAAATCATGAACATTTCTATATTTCAAAGGAAAGATCAGTAGAAACTCAAATGAAATCTGTAGTTGTGTTTTCCTCGACGTAGAACAGAGTAATGATAATTGATGCCCTGTGTTGAACCACTTCTCTTCTTAGAGTACCATGTAATATCCACATTCAAGAGGAATCCCCTTGAACAGGCCTTCCGTCGGCCCAATGTTAATCTCACATCCAATCACCTGATCAATCAGTACTGGATTACCGTGAGCCACAAGGCTCCGGCCTTCCTCTATGATCTGTACCTCAGGCTGATTGGACGAGAGCCCAGGTAACATCATCATCATCCTCGCCTGCTCGGACGCGTCGTTCCTGTTCCTTTCTAACGGCGAAAGTCCACACACACACACCTCTGCTGCTTTATCCTGTCACTTTTCGCGTAGTTTAGCTGCCTAACATTGTAACTGTGTTGTAAATGTGTTCAAACTGCTTGTGTGACGTAGCGTTGGCGCTTAAGAATGTATAACCCATTGCTCTCTATGATGATGGGTTCTGCACTCTTTTGCCGCTGGTTTTCAGAACATTAGCGCTGATTCAATCTCAGAAATGGACAGAGATCATTTAAGTTGGCAGAATCATTTTAGACGTATTTCTGTCAGTTGGTTTTATTCCACCGCAGAACTGAATCCAGGTTCATGTGATGGTGCTGATGAGAGGCCAGCAGACTGACTCCTTACACAGGGCTTGATTTTTAACTCCAGAGCTGTGAAAAGTATTTACCTCCTTGCAGATTTCTTCCGTTTCTGCCACACAAAAGTGTTTCAGGTCAACAAAAGTCAAAATCCGACAAATATAACCCGAGTAAAATCGAGATTTCATTTGTTAGGGCAGTGGTACTCATTCCTGGTCCTGGGGAGCCGGTATGTTTTCCATGTTTCTCTACTCCAGCACACATAATTCAGTGGTTGAATCCCCTGTGCAGCAGCTCATCGAGCTCTTCAGAAGCCCGTTAATCACCTGATGAATACCGGCCCTCCAGGATCAGGAGTGAGTACCACTGTATTAGGGGGACAAAGCTATCCAACCTGCTTTTGACTGAAAACATAATTAAGCCCTAAATTTTGAGTCTCATCTCTGTGGAGAAGTTTTAGAATCGTCCAAATTCTGCCACATTGGAGGGTTTTTCATCAGGACCAGCCTGTCTAAGGTCAAAGGTCAAACATGGCCAGGATGTCATTCTAGAGAGCAGAATTCATGATTCTGTAGCAGCAAGTGGTCCAGGTCCTGAAGAAGTGATCAAGCCCCAGACCATCATGCTACCACCACCGTGTCTGACTGTTTTAGTGTTAGTTTGACTGCAGATGGAACGGGACGCACACCTTCCAGAATATTTTACCTTTGTCTTGTCAGTCCACAGAATACTTTGCCACAATTCTTCAGGATTGAGATTTATTTATTTGTTTATTTTATTTTTGGTCAAAGTGAGACAGACTTTTGTGTTCTTTTTGGTCACCAGTGGATTGTTGCTATGGAAATTTCCCAGGAGGGCATTTTTCACCTGAATGGTTGAATGATGACCTTTGCCTGGCATGGCTTCAGATGTTGTTCTAGGCTTTTTTTGTTCTTGAATTCCTTTAGAACGGAGCATGACGTGTTGCTCATTGAGGCCTTTTTGCCTACTTCGTGGTGTCAGACAGGTTCTATGAAGAGACTTACTGCAGTAACCAGCTCTGGGTGTTGCTGGTGGAACATGACTCAGCTTTACGAAAAAAATGTATTAATATGTCTTTTGGTGGTTTGAAACTTTACTGGGAAATTTATTCTATTTGCCCCATATTCCTAAATTTTAATCAGAATTGGTAAGTCCCTTAAACTTCTGCGTAGCTTGACTTCTATAAGTCGTCTGGAAGATCAAAGTGCCTATTTGTGTTAATACTGTTGTAATATTAGCTAATGAAATGTTCTTAATCATTTTCATTGATATTGGACCGTAAATAGGCCATTCCTAAATAAAGATTATCTCCTGATGTGGTTGGATAGTTTGTTCCCTTATTTGAGCCTTTTGTTTTTACTGGATATTATTGTCTTGTGCAGAAATTTAACGGTGCACTAAGAGATGTTTTTCTGAAGTACTTTTACAATATGTCTTGAGATAATCTTCACATCTGATGGCAACCAATGAAGTAAATACTTTGCCAAAAAAGAATTACTGTAGTCGCCTCTGAAACGTACAACCCTGGTTAAACCTTATTCAATCACGATCCATCCATCAAACCCTCCCACCTTTGCACGTACCCCTGTGTGCACCATTCATGCATTCACAGCTTAAGAGCAGCTAAACAGGAAGTGAAGCCAGTGCCAAGCTAGCTAGTGTAACAGATAGAATGTTGGGAAACATTCAGGTGACGGACCTGTTGTCTGTGAATGCAGCCTGTCCTCTGTCGGTCAGCAGAGCTGTGGGTCAGTTTGTTGTCGTAGGTCTGGGGAACGATTTAGCTATGATTTTGAAATTAAAAATAAACCAAGAAAACAAAAAACTGCCTTGTTTTTAACGCTAAAACACCACACTATATTAGCTAGCATAATAAATGGTTGTCAGGTTACCTAGGTGTGTTAAGGTAGGCATTATGCCAACAACGGGTCAAATGCCTAAAACTAAAACCTCGGCTTAGCGAGAGACACCTGGAGAAAGGAGTTTGAACATTTTAGACGCAGATTTTTCTAAATGTTAGCTCAAATGCTAAGAAACATCTCTTATTCCACCTTTAAGTGACAAAAAAGCTAAATTTGAAGAAAATGTTAAGGAGGCAAAAGCTTGTTGATGGCGTTGTGAAAGAGGATATGTACAGTTTTTTCTTCTGATCCTCTGTCCTCCTTGTCCCATCATGTGTATTTCTCTCCTACAGAGTACTGTATAAACATGACCTTCAAGACCAATCCCTTAGAGCAGGCCTTCAGAAGGCCCAATGTCAATCTGCGCTCCAACTCTTTTACTAATCAGTACTGGACCACCGTCAGCCACACGCTGCCGGCGCTGCTCTATGACGGCTATCTCAGGTTGACGGGCCACAAGCCCCGGTAAGGCTACATTAGCTCTTCCCCTGCTGCCAGTCAGCTCCCAACTTTCCTGCATATTTCCTCAACTGTCCTCCCTGTTTTTTATTTTTCCTTACTGGGGTTGTGAAAACATGGATGAGTCCTGTGCAAAGGAGACTCTTTGCCGTGCATTCTTCTAATCATACGGCACCAGCTGAATTTTGGGTCATATCATGTTTTTAATTCTAATAATTTTCCTATGGAAGCATGTTTTTTGGATGGGGAGGGGGCTCCACTTTTTGAGAACATGACAGCCTTCATCTCCCACCTCTCTCACCCAATCATCGGAATCGCAGGAGTTCTTGGCCAATCCGAAAAGCTATTCAGCCTGAGCAACCTTCGTCCCGCTCAAAGCAACTGCATGCACATCAGTTGCTTTGAGTGTTTTTACATGTTAAGACAGTAGTGTTTCAGACAGTAAGTGAGGTAAATGATGCGTCTTAATTGGGATTAAACATCCAAATTTCACATTTTGGCTGTCTGGAACCAGTTGGGCTTATGGTTGTGGCTTACTCGGAACATAGGCGTGTGATCTGAATCTAATTTGGTTTGCAGGTAATGATTTTCTTTCCCATTCTGAGCTGATCAACCATGCATGCTCAATGCTTCAAATCGGTCGCCTTTGCTTACAGAATCTGAGTCATCTCAGTCGGGCTCCATTGGTGTGAGCGTTCACGCGTCTAACTCTAGACGGAGCTTTTTAAATTCCCGTTAACAGCCTGAAAGCCAGAGACTCAGATTCTTCAGCTTTCTGCTTCTACTGATTATCTGCTCTCTTCATTCTCTCACTAACGACATAATCATGGCTTTGATTGTGATGAACGAACTAACAGAAGCTAAATATTTACTGGATTTACTTCTCTGGCCAGGAGGACAATGATTGGATCAAATCTGTTTGGAGTAAATTGGTGTAAAACGTGGATTTCCTCCTGCTGTTTGCAGATTAAATCCAGGAAGTTTAGCTTGTTTCTGTCCACGTGGAAGAAAAACCACAGTGCTGTGAACGTTTGGAAGCTTCTTTTTTTAAAGGATTCTTTTAAAGTCAGTTTAAATAAAGGCAGATTAAGCAGAATTAAAAAAACTATGAATCCTCGCCAGGCTGTGGATGTTCGACTAGTCGGAGATGCAAAATTATGAGAAAATGTACAATTTTCACACTAGATTGATGCATTTGACGCCTTTGCTACATGAAATGCATTTGAGAAAAAAAGTGTCATTATTTGTTACCCTGGTTTTATTGATTTGGTGGTCAGGACCTCCTAACTCAGAATCGTCCTATCAGAACAAGAACGCTTCCAGACGGGTTCCTCGTCGCCGGGATGACCCGGTGACTATTGTGAGAGTAAAGTTGTTTTGATACTTTATTAATTCCCTCACAATTGTTTATTTTTTTAAATATTTGTCCCTGACAGTTCCAGCCCAGTGAGATTCTGGAATTAAACTCAGTTTTTTTTTTCAATATTAATCATCAGTGGTTGAAAACTAGATAACTTATGTTATTTACACTGGTTTAAAAATGTTAAAGCTCTGAAATTTTACCCTAACTCAAGGAGGGCTAAACTATCTAAGGTGTGGTTCACTTAAAAACATTTTTAAATGGTAAAAGGTCTGTATTCGTATTTCTAAGAGCCTTCTTAGGGTTCTACAACCCCCCCCCCCCCACCCCCCAAAGCGCTTCACAACACAGTCATCCACCCATTCTCACACTGGTGGGGATGAGCTATGATGTAGCCACAGCTTCCCTGAGGCGCACTGACAGAAGCGAGACAGCCGAGCACAGGCGCCACTGGTCGTGCCGACCACCAGCAGCAGGCAATGCGGGTTAAATGTCTTGCCCAAGGACACAACAGCAGAGTTCTCTGGTGGGAGCCGGGATCAAACCTATAACCTTCTAATTACTGGACAACCCGCTCTACCTCCTGAGCTACTGCTGCCTTTTTAACCCTCCCACTGTCTTCATGGGTGTGACCCCGCGAGGAAAGTTGACCATTGAGCGGGGTTGATGGTTTATCCCTTGGGTCCACTTGGCATGGGTGAGATGTGAGCACCACCTCACCCCTGCCACGTGGACCTCGAGAGATAAACCATCAACCCTGCTCAATGGTCAACTTTCCTCACGGGGTCACACCCATGAGGACAGTGGGAGGGTTAATAATTTTAATAATCTGAGTGTTTCATTCAAGCTAAACATGAAAATAGTCTCCTACAGCTATCTCCCGCATTAGCTTCTGATAGAAAACAGACGGTGAAACTCTACGATTAGAAAATCCTGACAGATCTACGTCACACTGTCACTAACATTCATGGACTCACTCATCTTGACTCACAACGGGGAAGGCTGTTGTTGGTTTAGCGTCCAGGAAACAGCAGAGAACGTCTCAGCTAGTAGAAGCTAACTGTTAGCATTAGCAACTCCACCACACAGCAGAATTCCTCCAGGCTTGTGTTATTAGGGGAGATAAAACATCAACGCTGCAGAGCAAACAGTCAGTGATAGTCGTGTTGTTAGCCTATCAGTGGAGAGATGTCCAACTATCAGGAGTTGGAACTCCAGATCCTGTCGTCTGAAGCTCAGCTCTGATCTGGCTCACTTCTAGATCCTCAAACAGGAGCACCTGGGCTTTCTGTACCCAGAGTACGACTTGCAAGGCATTCATTCCTACTAGGGACCCCAGCACACGTGTTAACTAAAGTTGTCATTTTCATTTTCTTACTGTGTTGGCGCCGGACGAGCCCCCGCACCGTGAGAACAAACATCTCGGCTCTAAAGCTGATCTTCATCTGTGTACGTCACATGACATGGGATCAGAAATCAGAACATCCATGTGTTAGGAGATCATTTTGGGCCGCTGCTGCCAAAAAAAAAAAGTGAGGCGCGAACCGGAAAAGCTTCTGCCGATCACAATTCAACAACGGATTATGAAAGAACGGATAACGCTCGAAACGCGCGGATTCTTCCTGATGTAAGAGGTGAGTCTCCACTTTGTTTTGGCGTCGGCGTCATCCTAGCGCGCAACATTCTGTCACTCTTTAAAAAAACTGTAAAAACATTGAAAAATGCTGGCAGTGAATGAGTTAACGAAGTGAACCATACCTTTAAACCCTACACAATCCTAACAAGATCATTTTTATAATGTTTCCAAATCAGAAAACCCTGGATTATCCTTTACAGATTAGATTTCTGTGCTGAAATCAGTTTTTTCCTTTAGGAGTTTAAATGTTGGGCCAAATGAAGAGCAGCATCATTAATTCACCTTTTTACTGCGGATTTATCCGAGTCTCAAGCTTCACTTCAGAAGAAAAGAACATCTTTGTTTCCTCAGAACAGAACCCCTCCGTGATGCCACATTTTATCGTCACGAGAAAATACCGAACCTCAAGAGGCTCTGCTAGTTTATTTATAAAAACTTGTCTTTTTCTAAGAAAAGCATTTTTTATTTGCCTCATTTGTTTCTGCGCTACCACCTTTTTAATTTTTTTACAATTATATTATTTAATTTAGAGACTTGAAGGAATGAGAAAACCGTCCATGATTCAATCACTATTGCAATTTCAAAGTGAGGAGACGGTCACAGAGACGCTTCCCAAAGCAAACGACACAGTTTACCGTTTAAATTAGTTTTGGTGTGAAAAAACATTTTTTTATCCAACTTTGGTCATTTAAGTTTATGTAATAGTCAGAGCGGATTTAACCCGACGATGCCCCTGATCTGTAAAACTAGTTAAGCCCAGTAATCCAAAACTTAAAAGCTTCTTCTGCCTTCAATCATCTACAGATCTGAGACCATTAAAGGGTTTATTCAAATGTATGTTCTGGTGGGGGATTATGATTAAATTTCATGGATAAATTAATAGAAAAAAATAAAAGCCCATGCTGAAAGGCTGACAAACTTGTAGCATTGTCTACTAATCCTGCTTAATCTGGCGTAATCTGGAGTTCAAAAGTTTCACTTGGAGTTTCAGATTACACACGGAGTGAATTGGAGTCTGCTGTCTGGTGTTTCGTGGTTAAACATTTATCTTTTCTGTCCTCTCGTTTATTATCCCACGTTTCTCTATCCTCTCGTTTTCCATAGTCCAGCATTCATTTTTCACTTCCCCCTAGCTCCTGGTTTTCCTTCACTCACATGTCATTTACCGCAGGATGATGAAGACCATCAATCGCCTCCACAAAGCCATGATGGTCCTGGAGTATTTCACCAGCCACTCGTGGGTGTGGAACACCAACAACATGGCCGTCCTGCAGGCCAACATGAGCCCTGAGGACAAGAAGGTACCCCAATTGTGTGTGTGTGTGTGTGTGTGTGTGTGTGTGTGTGTGTGTGTGTGTGTGTGTGTGTGTGTGTGTGTGTGTGTGTGTGTGTGTGTGTGTGTGTGTGTGTGTGTGTGTGTGTGTGTGTGTGTGTGTGTGTGTGTGTGTGTGTGTGTGTGTGTGTGTGTGTGTGTGTGTGTGTGTGTGTGTGTGTGTGTGTGTGTGTGTGTGTGTGTGTGTGTGTGTGTGTGTGTGTGTGTGTGTGTGTGTGTGTGTGTGTGTGTGTGTGTGTGTGTGTGTGTGTGTGTGTGTGTGTGTGTGTGTGTGTGTCAGTCATTCACTGCTGACGTGAGCTTGTGGTGAATAGACTTTGTTCATGAAGAAGACAGATTCTCCATTGAAATGCGTTTTTTTTTTTATCATCCCAGATAATAAAAACCTTGTTTTATTCTATCGTTGATGTAGATTATTCTTCGGGTTTATTTCAGAATATCTAACTAATAAAATAATGGAGAAATATTCTCAGAGTTGGTTGAAACCAAAATTGTAAAAAGTGGAGATTATTGATTTACCAACAGCTGAATGGAGTGAATGGTGTTCTGTTTTTATGCTTTTATTCCCGTAGGTTTTTAACTTTGATGTTCGACAGCTGCACTGGGCGGAGTACATGGAAAATTACTGTATGGGCACCAAAAAATATGTCCTTAATGAGGAGCTTTCAGGGCTGCCGGCTGCACGCAAACACCTCAACAAGTAAGTTGATGAATGCCCATTTTTGTCCTGGAGAAACAAGGTTGTGTATTTTCTAAATGTAGCTTTTTTGACAAGCTTCCAGGATTTCCCACCCTAACTTTGAGCCAGTAGTCCCCTTTCCAAAAAGGTTTCCAACCCCAGCTTTCCACTGGATGCTAAACGGCAATCGTCTGCGAAGCGTAGTCGATGAGTTTGCTTCCGTCGGGCATCCCAGAAGCGTTGTGTTCTGCTAAATTTATGCTTTGGGTCTGTATTTGATGCCCTAGACTTCCAGAACACGCCAAGCTCGGCATGTCTGATCGGACCAGACTGGAAATAGAACACGGATGCATAGATGCAGAATAAAAAAATGAAGATCTATTGGAGAATGTCATCGCCTTTAAAACCTCCACGTTTGAGGTTAACCACAGACCTTTGGGATACACATAGTTGTCTTTCTCCTTGCTTGTTGTCAAGTTAACTGGAGAAATACCCATGATCGTGCAATTCATGGTGAAAGCACGTCTATTACGCTACAAATTCAGTAGGAAGCCCAAGAAGCTTCTTCATGTAGTGACTCAAAATGTCCATAACGGTGCTCAGCGCTGGCCGTCCTGAAGCAGATCTGCAGGGGTATTCAGTTCCTGGAGGTCCTGTATCGAGCACGGTTTGGTTGTCTCTCTTGATTCACCTGTGCAGCAGCTAGCAATGGGTACCAAATTCGGTACTTTTTAAGGCACCGACCGAATTCCATAGTACCGACTGAGCACAGATTCACGTCATTTGAAATGGTGCCTCATTTCGGTACCCGTCCTCCATAACGAGAACTTGCCTAGACAGCAGCGCATGCGCAAGAGCGTTACGTCGTCGGTCGCTGCGAGCGAGTTGTAAACAGAGCAGCATGGTAGAAAGAACGCACGCTAAAGCTTGGGTCCACTTCACTAAATGCGACGTGTGATTGGGTGAAGATGAAACCAGCGACAACGATCTAAGTGTGAGGCATCATCGTTTTAATCTGCTCCAGCAGCTAAATAAACTGTTTAAGATAACGTTAGCTTGATATGTTAGCTTCCATTGCCACCATTGTTATCAGCTAATGGTGCGTTCGCTTTCTCCTCGGAAATTCTAACTTCCCAGTAGGAAAAATCAAATGAAAAAGGACGGCAAAAGGAATGAAGACACACAGTAAATTTAGTTCACAGTAAAGATGTTTGCTTCAGTTTAATTATCAGCTTATAAAACTACAAGGATGATGTTAAAATTGGTACCGGTATCTATTCCTAGGTACCGGGAATTTGTACCGAATCGATTCAAATGTCAAAGGTACCCATCCCTAGTGGCAGCTCATCAGGCTCTGCAGAAGCCTGTTGATCACCTGCTGGTTGAAATCAGGTGTATTGAAACTAAAACGTGCAGAATATATATCGGACCTCCAGGCCTGGAATTGAATACCCCTGTGCTAGACCCTCCCACCACAGCGTACCATGAACAAATTGCAGCCCCCATGCAATCAAACCGTTAATAGTGTCTGAATTGGTTTGTGATTTTGTCTTTATTCATTTGCAAACGAGTTTCCACTAGTCGTGTTACACTTCTCACGCTTTCTCAGGGTATCTGCGGGTCCTTGAAAAGTCTTACATTTGGAAAAGCAAATTTAAAACTTTTTAAGGCCTTAAAAATGACTAATAATCTTTAAATACAGTTTCCAAACGTCTTAAACCAAAGACCCAATAAACAAGATTCTTTTATTTCTATAAAAATTTTGTGAATTTCTAGTTAGTGTTCAGCATTTTTTGTGTACGATGTTGGCGTAAGCGGAACCGTACACATTCAGTTGGTTGTGAAAGGGGACTATTTTTAGATGAGCACATTAGCTGGTCAAGCTAGTGGGAGCTTGCGCCATGGGGAAGTGCAAGTTTAATGGTAACTGGATGGCTAATCCCACGTTAGCGACGTGGTTAGTACCGGTACCAGGCAATAGCTGGAAATTATAGCTTAAATTTAATTTTAAAAAATTGCTTGAATTTGGTCAAAGTGGCCTTAAAAAGGTTTTAAAAAATTCTTAAATTTGGCTCCCTTAAACCTGCAGATACCCTGTTTCTGACTTGCAGAAATTAAATCAACCCAAGTTCCTGCAACAACTCGGACCGTTTTGAGAGAACATTTGTCTTTGATCATGCTTCACAAATCTGTTTCTACTAGGGCTGAACGATTTTGGAAAATAATCTAATTGCGATTTTTTTTTTTCAATATTGCAATTGGGATTTAATTCACAATTATTTTCTCAAGGGGCTTTTCTCATTTTTCAACTAACGAAAGCAAAAAAAGATCTACCGGGTATGTAACTTGTACTGAATATCAACAAGTTCATTTGTCTGCACATACATGAACACTCACAACTAAAGACAACATCTTGTATTTGAAGGTGCAATGCTTTGCAGCCAGGAGCACATCCTATGAAGGAGAATAGGTATTGGCATCAACTGTGAAAAATTTTATTTGCAGGAAAGAAGTGTGTCCCATTTATTGAAGTCTTTTGTGTTTAGAGTTTTTGACGTCTTGTCCATGCAGAGCTTCCGTAGTTCAGCTACGTTCACAGCTGCTAGCCAAAACTCAGCAGTGTTGGGAACGTTACTTTAAAAAAGTAATTAGTTATAGTTACTGATTACTTGATCAAAAAAGTTACTCAAGTTACTGAGTTACGAGATTATACAAGTAACTAATTACCAAGAAATATAACTACTTAGTTACTTTTTTCATTAAAGAATGCTAGAAAAAAGGGTTCCCCTCTTAACTGAACTTAATTTACTATAAATTACTACAATAGTGAAATATAAATGACTAGACTGGAACATAATAAAATGTGTGTCCAAATGTTTTTATAAACCTGAATAATTTAAATAAATAAGCACTTAACAGGAGGAACTACTAACAGGAGCATTACACTAATCTAGACTATTAAAAGGTCACTGTGTGATATTTAACAAGACCCTAATCAGCTAAAATTTAAAATTGCAAATAGAAACGCCTGTAAAGGTTCCCGAGCCTTTAAATGGTCTCTCAGTCTAGTTAAATTACAGAAATAAATGTATATTTGTACAGAATTTTAATTTTTCCAGCTTCACATAATTGTGTGTTTTTAGTAGCATTTCTGTTGCTGCTAATCTAGTAACGGTTAAATAAATAAATAAAATCCTTTAAAATGACACTAGAAGAGGCACAAGCCTGATGGAGGACTTACATTTACTAACTTGGGTCAGATCCAAACACAGAAGAGCTGAAGCTGGGTGGTAAACACACACAGGTAGTTCTAATAACACCTAAGCTCCATGACGTCTGAGACTGATGCATCAGTGTTACAGCGGGACTAAAGGCATGATCAGAAACAGGTTACAGCTGGATGATCTAGGAAGGCAGAAAATAAGGACGTCTGAGCGGTGAACAGGTGAGCGGACCTTCGGGACGTCATGCTAAGAAGGGCACAGCTGCAGATCCTCACCTGCCGTCGTAGACTATTCATCACGTCTTCCTCGTTCTTCACAGGCCGTGATGCTCTTGGATGAAAACATCTACCTCTTTAGCTCCTGATCAGCTGATGACAGCTTCAACACACCCGCTGCTTAACGCACGCATTTCCTTATCAGTAACAGAAACGACGTTTTGATAAAAGAAGACTGTAATTAATTAGTTTGCTCGTTACTGAAAAAATAAATGCGGTTATTTTAAACGGCGTTATTCACATCACTGCTCTGTTGGGTCTACAGCAGGCAGCGACTGAGACAGTGAGGGTCTCCGCCCACCCGGCCAATCATCATCGTGTTTGTAAGTGCGTTACCGACACCTCTCTCTCCCTGGCTGCAGCTGAAGTGTGGCGGTCAGAAAGCCTCCCACTGTTGCTCAGCGTTCGACAAGCACATAGTAACGCACAACCTTCCGTCCCCAGTAATGGTAACGGCGTTTCAACAGTGGGAAGAGTAATTAATTAAATTATTCCGTTACCTAATAAAGAACACAGTTAGTAACGCCGTTATATTTAAACGGTGTTACTCCCAACACTGAAACTCAGTGGAGTTGAAGTACAGTTTTCTAGCTTTACTTAAACATTTGTCTGTACTTATTTGATTAATGGCAGTTTTTTCTTTTTATTAGACTCCAAATGTAATAATTTGGCACGTTCCTAATTCGTAATTTGTAAGAATCTGTTCGGCGATATTAGCATTAGCATCCCTATGGGTTTTTCAATGTATATTAGCATTGTGCTAACCACTCGCAGCCAGTCAAATCGCAGCCTTTTCGATTAGAAAATCTTTTTGTCACATTGCAATTTTATTGCATATGCAATTAATCGTTCAGCCCTAGTTTCTACCCAGTTAGGTAAACTGGTTACAGGAAGATTATGGCGGAGTTTGTTAAAAGCATGATTGCTGAGGATGTAGTTTTGAATGAACTGGAGTCCCGTGTTTGTGTTCCTCCAGGCTGAGGAACATCCGCTACACCTTCAACACCATCCTGATGGTGCTCATATGGCGCGTCTTCATCGCCCGGTCCCAGATGGCCCGAAACATCTGGTACTTCGTGGTGAGCCTCTGTTTCAAATTCCTCTCCTACTTCAGAGCTTCCTCCACCATGAGATAATGAGCTGGGGTCACGGTGGCGGGTGGAGAGATGAAGTGAGGAAAACATCAACTGCAGAGGTGTCTGCACCGAGAGCTCTGCTATCTCCTGAAGATTAAGGAATGAAACTCCGTGAATACAGAAAATAAAGAGCTAGAGGACAAGCCGGGAGTCTGCAGCAGTCTAAGATCGCTTTAACCTGAACTCTGCCGCTTCATTGAACAGGATTTATCCCAAAACGTTCCTCGGACCTACAGCACTTGGACTAGCTTTCCATTTCACTTTGCACTGGATGTTCTGCTCCAACGGGCCTCCTCTGGTTTCTGAAACCATTCAGGCTTCTAGCTCTTTTTTTTTTTTTTACATTCATTAAAACCTTTTTTTTCCCTTCTCCTTGAATCCATGTTCACTGGCAGCAGCGTTCCAGGGATGTTTGCAGACCTGTTATGGGACAGCACGACATTCAGGTCACCCCTACCCACACCGGCTAAACTAAAGCCGTCTTAACCAGCTTTTAAACGGGTTTAGAGGGTTCTGTTAGTGCCGAGTCATGCCTCACCCGGAGATCTCACTGGCCTGAACCACTCCTGTTTCCTCGTAGAAACCGGCTTTACCGAGTGCCTACACACCAACTCTTCTTGCAACAGCTTTTTTTCTAGTTCGGGTTACATTTTGAGACGATATTTGTTCCTGTCGATGTTTCTCCTTTTGCCAAAATCACTCACCTGAGAGGAGAATGTTTTCTTTTTGGATTATTCTCTTTTGTTTCCTGTTTGATTTGAAATTGAATAGTTTTGTTTGTGCAAATTTGTTCTGTTACACGATTGGTTGTTTTCATTTCTTCTTGATTAGGTGAAAAACAACAACTTGAAGTTACTGGAACCTGCTTCATGTATCTCCTGTTACATTATTTATGAGTTTGGTGCAAAGACGGCGGTTCTGCCTGATGATCATTTTTGTCTTAATGCCTCCAAACTGTTTGGTGTACCAGCATCAACCTACATAAAAACCCTGGATTGTGCCTCAACTCTTGTCAATATTTTAATGTGAAAAGAGCAGCAACCTGTTTTCTAATTATTTTGTGTACAGCTTTATTTAGCTAGACTGTAAACAATAATAAACATGTATTTTCTGCTAACGTTGTTGTGTGGCTAGTTTACGAAGCTGGCGTTATGAAGAGATCCATAAAATTCATAGTTCTGTGTCTAGTTTAACCATTTAGAGTCTGAAATATAACATGTATCACACATAACTAAAAAATTTGTATAGAATGGTGAATTTAATAAAATTGACCCTCACAACCTGTCGATACTCCACCAGGGGGCAGCAGATATGCATTGGACTGTATATGGCTAACTCTAATGAAGATACTAATCCTGATGCTCCCTGTTGATTAAGTTTAGCAAAACTAAAAGTCTTCAACTACAGCTGAATAACTTTGCATTTCAACTAGATCAAAGATGGCTACCACAACTAATCAACCTTAAAGGTGTGGGACACGCCTTTAATCAATACATCTACAGTGGTCTCCAGTAGGAATGGATGCCTTGTAAGTTGTACTCTGGGGAAGAAAAACACCAGTGCACCATTTTCAGGAACTAGAAGTGAGCGACATCACAGCTGAGCACCATTTTCATCACACCTGAGCACCATTTTCATCACACCAGTGCACCATTTTCAGGAACTAGAAGTGAGCGACATCACAGCTGAGCTTCAGACGGCAGGTTTAGGAGTTTTATTTCCTGATATCTGGACATCTCACCTTAGATTGGATAACTGCAACACGACTATACCACTGACTTGCAACATGGATGTTTTATCTTCAACAACAAAAGCCTGGAGGAGTTCTGCTGTGTGGTGGAGATGCTAATGCTAATGGTTAGCTTCTACTAGCAGAGAAGTCCTCTGCTTTTTCCTGAACGCTAAACCAACAACAGCCTTCTCTCGTGGGTCGAGATGGGTGAGTCCACGAATGTTAAGTGACAGTGTGACGTAGATCTGTCAGGCTTTTCTAATCCTAGAGTTTAACCGTCTGTTTTCTATCAGAAGCTACTGCAGGAGATAGGTGTGAGATGTAAAATAGTTTGTGTTCCACACCTTTAAACAACAAAAAAGACTGGATGACCGATCTTGTGTGACTTAACACATACTTTTATTTGTAGGATTTTAGCAAAATGACCAGAAACCTCTTTAGAAAATGGCTTCAAACTCTGAACAGCCTGATAATAGATCTTTGTCCAGATGAGGTTCTACTAACTGGCTGCTCTGTTAGAGAACAAATTCAAATGTTTGTAATTACAATATAAAAAATGCAGCCAAAGCTTTTTAACTGTTTTTTTTTTTTTTTTTGCTGGTAACCCGTACAGATGAGTGTCTAATAGTTATGTAGACACGTTCAATCGTTATTTTAGAAGTTTATTGCAACATATGTAAAATTTAATATTTCAGCCCAAAACTCCACCCATGGTGTGCCTCCCCTTTTTACTTTCAGACTTTTAATAAGTTCAAAAAATCAACTATTTTGCTAAAAATACATTAATCTCTGGGTTATCTTATCAGAAACATGAAAGTATGGCTCAGTGCCAGATAAACTCATTCACATGCTTTGGTTCCTCATCTCGCACTGGGCTGAATTAACACAAACAATCTGTACTTGGGCTCCGCCCTCAGCAGGGGCCCTGCAGGGAGATTGGAGCTTGCTGTCAGGGTGGCACTGGCCCCTCCCTGGACCATTCGTAGAACCGCCCCTGCTTTTTCCCTTTTAGAATTACAAAGTAAATCCATTTAAATGTGGTTTGTGAAAAATGACCTTAAGTTTAGCTTTTATGCTGTTGTGGTTTTTTAAATAAACTTTGCTGCTCAATTCACACTTTCATCTGCTTCGAGGTAAACCTAATTGTGCTTACGCTCACATTAAAGTAATGACTTATCGACTCCTCTTCCTCCAGCTGCAGCCTTTACTGCAGGTGCAGGGGTGTGTGTGTGTGTGGGTTAGGTGGGTGAGGGGGTAGGGGGGCGAGGCTCCGATTGAACTTTTGTACCTTTACAATTGAAACTTGGACTTTGAGGTATTTGTTTGATCACACATCAAAGGAAGAAATGCTCACCTGTCATGTCTGAGAAAAGAGCAGCAGGTACATTACATGGATTAGCTCGATAGTTTTATAGAATGACTTTTGTAAAGTAAGGAGATAAAATGTGTCGATCATCCTTTTATATTCTGTCAGAAATGTATGTAAGTATAACAAAATCTACTGGGGCTGAACAATTTTGGAAAATAATCTAATTGGGATTTTTTTTCTTCAATATTGCAATTGTGATTTAATTAACGATTATTTTCTCAAGGGGCTTTTCTCATTTTTCAACTAACGGAAGCAAAAAAAAATCTATGTAACTTGTACTGAATATAACCAAGTTTATGTATCTACAAATTTATCTACATATCATATCAACTTGTTTATTTGTCTACATAAACACAAGTAAAAACAAAATTTTGTATTTTAAGGTGCAATGCTTTGCAGCCAGGAGCACATCCATTGAAGGACCATAGGTATTGGCATCAATTGTGAAAATTGATTTGCAGGAAGTGTGTCCCATTTATTGAAGTATTTTGATTTTAGAGTTTTTGACGTTTTGTCCACGCAGAGCTTCCGTAGTTCAATTTTGTTCATAGCTGCTATCCAGTGGAGTTAAAGTCTCTTACAGTTTTCTAGCTTTACTAAAATATCTGTCTGTGCTTATTTGATTAATAACAGTTTTTACTTTTTATTAGACTCCAAATGTAATAATTTGGCAAGTTCCTAATTCGTAATTTGTAAGAATGTAATCGGCGATATTAGATTAGCATCCCTATGGGTTTTTCAATGTATATTAGCATTGTGCTAACCACTCACTGCCAGTCAAATTGCAGCCTTTGCGATTAGAAAATCTCCTTTTGTCACATCGCAATTTAACTGCATATGCAATTAATCGTTCAGCCCTAAAATCTACTAGTTTTCTCTGTTTCACACTATTGTCATTTAGGACGTTCCTTCTGGAAAATCTGGGAACATCATTGAGATCAAAATAATTTTCACCTGTGGTATTTTCACATTTAATGCGATGGACCAAATGTCTAATTTCTCAGATTATGTGAATTGAGGTTTTAGTTGTTCTTTAAAAGTCCACTTTACTGAAGAACCATTTGTTAATGATTATTTCTGATTCGGGTTCACGCTGAGTGTTTCATGCAGGCTGAACATGAAAATAGTCTCCTACACCTATCTCCTGCAGTAGCTTCTGATAGAAAACAAGACGGTGAAACTCTAGGATTAGAAAATCCTGACAGATCTACATCACACTGTCACTTAACATTCATGGACTCACCCATCTTCTATTTATTTTTTCTTTATTTGCCCAGATGAGTCGATGGAGAACTCTTTCTTATTTACGACGATATGGCCCAGAGAACAGACACACAGTTAGCTTTAGACCAAAGAACAACAGAAAAGATGGAAACAAACAAGATAAAACAGTTAAACATAAAGACAACGGGGAAGGCTGTTGCTGGTTTAGCGTCTAGGAAACAGATCGTTTCGGATAGTAGAAGCTAACCGTTAGCATTAGCAACTCCACCACACAGCAGAACTCCTCCAAGCTTATGTCATTTGTGGAGATAAAGCATCAATGTTGCAGAGAAAACTGAGTCAGTGGTAGGTTCATGTTGCTGTTAGCCAATCAGAGGTGAGATGTCCAAATATCAGGAAGTAAGACTGAGGCTCCTCTGATGTGGCTCACTTCTAGTTCCTGAAACTGGTGCACTGGAGCTTTTTTCCCCAGAGTATGACAAGGCATTCATTCCAACTAGAGACCACTGAAAATGTACTGAAATATGAGTAAAGTTCCACAAAGATAAACAATCAGTGATGAACAAGAGTCTGCTTCTAGACCTGCAGAAAAGGGGCACACAACAATACAACAGGAGCAAGCTATCACTGCGTCAGCCTGATGAGGAAATATAAAATCAACATTATTTTACTGAACTATCGCACGATAATAAATCAGTGCATTTAGTGTCAACCACAGCCTTAAGACATGTGTTGAACGTGCCCAAGTCCATACTTATGAGAGCACCATGTGAGCACCTGTGTGTGTACACGTGCTTGTATATGTAAGGTTTCTCTATAGGAGCGTCCAATAGAGAGTGTGAGGGATCACAGATTTGCCCCCTAAAGATGTGCAGGAGACGGAAGGAGCTCTAAGTCTCAGAGATCCAGAAGCTACCCCAGAGCACAGGGACCCAAAGGAGACTGCAACCAGAAAAGCCCACGCCCCCCTCAAGAGGTGCAGAGGATCGCCCCGGGGGGCCACAACCAGCAGCCGGCAGAGTCCCGGGAGATATCAGAGACAAGCCCACAGGCCGGCCCACAGCCTCCCACCCCGTAGCTGGCCGAGCACGGAACCCAGCGACCCGGGACCCAGGGGCGACCAGCCCCACCGGGTACCCAGCAGAGCCCAGGGACCCAGATCCCACCAGGCAGCCACCGGGATTAATCAGGCAGACGCCAAAAATCTTAAACCCCCTGACCCGGGAGCCGCGAACACTCGGGCAGACCAAGGCACCGCACTCCACACCAGGTGTGGCAGGGAGTTGACCTTTCTAACAAGGTTAGTCTGACTGTAAACTTCCCACATCCAGCGAGGTAACACAGGTTAGCCGCGCCAGCTGTTGTTTTAGAGGTCCGGTGCCTTCTTGTTTTTTAAACCACTGTGAGGAATTAAAACTACTTCATCCTCTCAGCTTTGATATTTATTTTATTTTAACTCTGAGTAAACTCCGGTTTTCTTCTACCTGAGATTCTGAGGGATGAAACAAATTAGGCGTCTGTCTCAATCTGCTGTCCTGTTTCCTGCAGGGCAGAGAAAATCAGTCCTCCAGCACAACAGGAAGCCAGATTAAAGAGTCATATTGACCAGCTCCATTAAGATTAAATGCTGCCTTTCTGGATTAGACCTGATGGCTCAATTTTCATTTTCTAGAAATGGTTGAATGCTCAGAGGCTGAGATTATTGTTTTGTGGCCTTTGACCCATGCAAAGCTTTTCAGATTAACACATGGGTTTTATTTAAAAAAAAAACGTTTCTCACATCATCCTGAGA